CAGGCAAAGCCGAATTAAGTGCATTCTGTCGCACTATGACAAACCACCGTACGAGCTTTCAGACGTGGCGAACTTAGACGCTGGTAATTTCGTTTTCTCTAAACTTCAAATCCGCAATTACCATTTGACAGCGAGCATTGATAGATAAAGCGACAACCAAAGTAGGCAAAGGGAATGTGATGAAGCAATCCTATTGGTGGAAGTTGGTAGTTGCGACGGACTTAATACGTAAGTAGTAGACTAACTAACGGCAACCTACAAAGGACCCTGTAGGTAGTCAATCATTTTCTCTCTCAGTCTATATTAACATCTATACCCGTTTCAACCATTAGGATCGCTCCATTTTCTCTTCGTGTTATTGTTTGTCTATCGCTATGTCTATTAAAAGCAATACTTTGTCAGCTGGATATCACAAACGGGCTTGTTGATGAATTCGCTCTGAGGATCAATCAGTGGAAATACTCAGTAAATACTGAATTTCATGAATGTCTCATCACTCTTCCCCCTTAGTCTATAAGAACCCGTCGTTAAAACCAATAGCATCGCTCCATGTTTTCTTTGTTATCTATGTATATCACTTTGTCTATTGCTTTGTCCATCAATTTCAGTACACCGTCGCAAGACAGTCGACAGCAATATCTGGATTACATTTTGCAATAAGAAACCACACTATCTTTGGCTCTTCCGTAAAAGCATCTTTCTGCATAGGGAAACTAATAGCACATATGTTGTTTCTAAAATGAGTCAGAAATGGTAGTTCCTTATTGCAAAATGTAATCTAATTGCGCGGAATACAGTCGATTTTTTCTGGAATAACGGGCCTTGAGAGATGCAACAGGTATTCCTTGGTCCGCGCGAGCTTATTATGTCAACGAGACTTTATCAATGAACATTATGCGACCGCGACGCACACTGGTTCGAGTCAATAGGAGAGATCGGACAAAATTCGGAAACTTTAAACGCTTCTGACTCCGTTTATACATAACTTTGAGGTTCTAAAAACGGTTCTACTGGTTTTCTAGTGACATTTTCTTCCAAAAGCATCCCTTAAAATTTAAAATTTGACGAATTAAACATCAAAATTTCCAGTTTTAGTCAAAAATTTCTTGTCCGACCTCTCTAATTGACTCGGTACACTGTGCGACGGGCAGACAAACAGAGGCCGTAGATAATGTCCAAACTCGATTTCGCCCGCGGGCGCGGTGACCCCGCCATGTGCGGTTCCGTTTTCTAGAAAAAATCTAGAAACTCCTCCGATTCGACTAGAACGGCGCCGTGTCCATTCGGTGGCATAGGAATTCGACTAAATTTTGCAGTTCGGAACTAAAATTTCTGGCTTATCTTTAAAGATATACTTGCGTGCATAGGGAAACTAATGGTGCATACACGGAATAAATGGACCACATTTTGCAATTCGGAATTATAAATTCTAGCCCAGTTCAAAAACAACGTATTTGTCATTAGTTTCCCTCTGGACATAAGTGTTTTTCCAGAAGAGCTAGAATTTATAGTTCCAAATTGCAAAATGCAGTCCAAATAACCTAAAGCATTGTGTTTTATATTCGGTATTTTGAAAGTTTCAGCGCAAGTAGCATTTTTCGACGGAAAAATCGCTATATATTGCAATTATATCGGCGATAAAATCGCTAGGATCATCAACATCTGAGCAATTATCCTCGATCTTATTGGAATGAAATCGTGATTTAATCGTCCGTCAATTTATCGCGATGTTTTTGAAGTAAGAATAGTGATAAATGGCGATTTAATCTCGATTTTATCGACGAAAATTGATAGCGATTTTATCGAATTAAATATTGCGATATGCAGCAATTTAATCTCATATATCGCAATTTTTAATGCGATACTATCTCGATATATTGCCACCGATATAACCGCGGCAACCGACCGATAAAATCGCTATTTATCGCGATCACTGCTACTTGGGAGGTGGGTGGATTACAGGGTGAATTATTGCGTATTCTTGGACCCAAAATTCTGGACAAGCTCGCTTCTAAAAACAGGGCCGGATTTACCCTTTTGCCGCCCATGGGCCGACTGTATATTGCCGCCCCCTTCTCATTTGTTTTGAAACATCAATAAAAACCATCAAGTGAACGTGCCGGAGGGGGGGGGGAAGGGTGCATAAGACGCGTTTACCTATACTAGTGTTGGATACATTTTTTGCGAAAGCCCTGTCAACACTACTAGCAAAATTCACGGAACTTTGCGCGAAATTTAAGTTCCGTAAACTTATTTCTGTGTGGACAAGGTACTTTATTCATAAGAAATGAACCAAAATATTATGAAAGAACAAACATAAATGTGGTTCAATGATTTTAACTTCCGCCGCCGCGCCGCGCAGACCGCACCGTGTTGGACGCAATGCGTGAAGTATTCACGCAGTCTTGTAGGCGCTAATATGTGTTACATGCCGACCGCCGCGCCGCGCCGAGGGCTTGTCCTTTTCATTTCAAGTCCTCGTCATCATTCCTCTCTGCGCTGAACTCCAGGTCAAATTGCGTAATTAGTTCCTCTTAACTCGACTAATTAAAGATGCTGTCTCTTGTATCACAGAAAAACGACAAAAGTAGAAATTACCATATTCTCAGGAAAGAGAGATTTTGTCCCTTTCCTCATTGGTAATTTTTTTTTTCTGGATCCGTTTTTTTTTATACATACATTTAAAAAAATTGGAAAATTTGCCGCCATGGGCCGCGGCCAATGTGGCTACCCCCTTAATCCGGCCCCGGTCCAAGATTCAAAGGAATTTCAAACGCACCGCAATGGCGGGAAAAAGATGGAAGTGATGTACATACTATAGCAGCCAAATCGCTACCTCCTCTCATTTTCCACCTATGTTTTTCTTTTTTTTTTTTTTTTTTATTTAATAAAAGAATTTCAATGTGGAATTGTTGCCTGTTAACAACACGCAATCTGAATGAGATTCGATTATCATTAATATAAACTTCGAAGGATTCTGCCTTTTTCTATTTCACTCGAGGGGAAGTGTCCCCTCCCCGCCTCTCTTCCCCACCCGGTGACTGACGCTGCGCTGTGCTGAACGGTTCAGCCTGAACCTTTCCCCTACGTCTGACCGTTCCCCACTCCTCTGTCAATCGAACCATATGCCACCGCTTACGTATTGTCGCTCGCCCACCCAGGTACCTAGCGGCCAGCGGTCAGTTGATGATAAATCTCGCTCATGCTCCTATGCAGCTACGCATTGATTACGCCAGCTAATTACTTTCTAATAATTAGAATTTCTTCGATAATAGTTTTCTTTATTTATTCGACTGTATTTTTTTCTCTGTTCTACTGTGATTTCCTTGGTTCTCTACTGTGTTTTTCCTAAATCTCCGAGTCAGAAATCTGAAGCACTTCGGTATGCACCGAGTACTTCAGATGTGTGACCTGAAACCTTCGGTATATACCGAACTACTTCAATTGTCTGACCCGAACTTCGGCAGATGGACCTTAACTTTTCGGATGCGTGATCCGAAAACTTCAGAGATCCATATGATCTCAGCTTCGGGTTCCATGCACAAAATTTTTTTCTCCGTGTTTCCTTTTAGGGGACGCAACTAAAATTTCAGTAAATTTTTTCAGAAAAGTAAAAAAAGTGGCTAACAATGGTTCCTCACCTTCTCGTGGTGTTGGCTGTTTGTACTAAGTGAGAACCGTCCATTTTAAGATATAGTCTATTTCTTGCCCTGCCATTATTATTCTACAAGTTAATTGTGGAGTGAGAATTTCATAATGTTTTCTATGAAATCTTCAAAATATAGTGATAAAAAATTTGCAACTACTACAAAATCGGCTCGCGAAGCGAGCCGAATGTCACTCGCGTAGCGAGTGACCGGGTGTCCAGGGGGCTTAGCCCCCGGCTAGGCGTGACGGGCGCGCGAAGCGCGCCCAGAACGGCTAGTTTAATTCTAAAGATATAATTTTGACTTTCCTATTGTTTTCGTTTACGAGGAGCATGAAAACATAAAACGGAAGTTGTAGAAACCCGCGACCATTCGGTTCGGCGCGAAACCGGGGCAATTTTAAAGTGAGGAAAAATTGCGCCATTTGAACCGCATATTACTCGGTTTCTGAGTTAATTCTTTGCGTTTTTAATGTGCACATTGTGCTCTACTTCATTCACTTTCACTTTAATAAATTAACTTGGATGCATAGTCCAAACTCTTACACAATTTGACGAGGAAAAATGCGCTTGATCTTATCGGATTTTTGCTTGAATCAAGAGCCAATCCTGCTAAAAATCGTGAGTATAAATGAGTAGAAAATCAAAGTTATATGAATAGAATGACTAGAGATTTCAACTCACATGAGTTCAGCGTTGAATCTACCGTGTCCGATATCTCAGAAACTAGTCACCGCATTAAAAAAAATTATAAAAACAAAATGTTTTTATTTTTCAAATTTACATGTTATGTCGGTGTCTCCTGGTCAGAAACAGCACTTCTGAAAAATGAAAAAAATTGGATTCATAGGAGTTGAACTTTACTACTCTAATGAGTAGAATATTCTAGTGATATGAGTAGGATTTCTACTCATATAAGTAGGAATTTCTACTCATGTGAGTCGGCGGATTCCGAATAGCCTACTCGTCATTTTTAGCAGGGAAGCCTCTCAATTTAAGCGGGTTTCCTTTTGATTCAAGCAAAAATTGGACTGAATCAATCAGTCATCCGTATTCAGAGGCGGATTCAGCAATTTGGCAACACCGGATTTCCTCCATTTAAACCTACGTTAAATAATCGATTCTTGTCGGAGCACCTGGCCCCTCCAAGAATCGATACACATCCATAGGTTTAAAGGGAGGAAATCCGGTGTTGCCAAGTTGCTAGATCCGCCAATGTCAGTCATCCGTTTTCGCGAGTCAAAATTCGTTCATGGTGCAGTGACCCATAACACCGTTTCCGTCAATCAAGCGTGACAATCGTAAGTTTCCTATCTCGGATATTTACTGATGAAGAGGAGGCGAATTGGCTTACCGATGCGTTGGTCCACGACCCTCGTCTATCTAAAGACGAGTCAGCGGGTTCGTTTTGTTTGGATTGAACTTTCTTTGCGAACTCTATCAAGGGAATGCAGCCGGTGTTTGCCCGCAGCGCAGCGGCCGGTGATCTTCCGGATACATTGACCGAAATCGAAACGAGCGCAGTTTGTCCACTTTCTTCTCGACAACTGACATGACAGCCAGGCGGAATCTTCCACCCGCGCAACACTGACCTGGCCGACGACGCGACGACGAGACGAGACGAGCCATGACAGAAGACGCCGTTAGACCCGCGGTCTCGATACGCTGATGAAAATAAACGGAAAGTACCCGAACTCGCCGGGAAACTTTTCCGCTAACTTTAGATAAGCTGCCCAAAATACGTAGTTTTCTATTTCTCGTCCCGCGAGCGTTCGGAAAATATCGATGGCTGAGCTTACTGATCACTTTGAAGGGCCGCTCATGAAACACGTACACGGGAGAAAATGGATTGCTGATTTAATAATTAAATTGTGGATCATTAGCGGATTCAGCAAATTGGCAACGTTGTTTTTCTCCGTTTGAATCTATGGAAATTGATCGATTCTTATAGGGGCCAGGTGCTCTGACAATAATCGATTATTTAACATGGGTTTAAGTGGAGGAAATCCGGTGTTGCCAAATTGCTGGATGCGCCTCTGTTGTGGATCAAGTGACTGCAACGTTTTAAATGTACAATTTACAGTTGTAGAAACCTAATTTAACCGGACGGGGATGGTTAACTTAGCATATTTTCACTGTAAAATCAACATTGAAACATTGCAGTAACTTTTTTTAACTATAAAATTGTTACATCAGCGATTGAATTTTTTCCGTATAACGTTAAAATAACCAGATTTTTCACCCTGTTCCTCCCCTATGTTACGCACTCGTAATGTAGGTCTATCTGGTCCAAAAATATGCACCCCCCCCCCCCCCATCTCTCGACTCACCACCATTTTACCAAAAGTACACGAGAAAAAAAAGTCTCTTGGATCCAGAGTCTAGACTCTTAAATAATTTGTCGAGAAAATCTAATCTTGATGCAATCGGAGTTTTCTTTGATTTGAGAACCAAACTCTTTAATTTAAGCGGATTATTATTATTATTTTTTTTTTTTTTTGATTCAAGCAAAAATCCATTGAATCAAGAGTATTTTTCTTGTCTTTCAGAGTCTGGACTCTGGATCTGTGATACTTTTTTTCCAGTGTAGGAACATCACCTATAACTTTAGTTTTTCGGTTACGGTTCTTCGATCTTAAAATCGGATTTTTTACTTCTTCCCTCCTCTTCCGCAACGTGGGTCTATGCTTCTCTAAAAATATGTGACGCCGTTTTGACCCCCCCCCCNCCCATGTAGAAAAATCACTGATAAACCTCAATGCAAGAAACATTGAAGTCAAAGTAATGTGGAGAAGCAACCATTAAAGAGAAATTCTGCTTCAAAGAAGTGAAAAAATACAGCAACAAACGTTACGTAACGAAGCCCTGGACCCCCTCCTAACTTCCTTATGCCACAATTATATCGTAGGCTTAATCCCCTCTCCTTCTTACCCTTTCCCCTACAGCGTATAGCATTTGATGGACAGTCCGCAGCAGCACAAGGATTTTTTTCCCTGAGATGAAAAAACTCGTTAAAAGTATAAGTAGTAAAATGGGAAAAAAATACCGTGAAGTATTTTTTTACAAGAAAAATATATTTAAAATCAAGTTCACTCACCTAATTCAACTTTCACCTCTTTATTTACGAGTTTTTTATGCTAAATTCTCGGACTCTTATTGATTACGATTTTTTCACGAGTTTATCGCGTTCGGTTTTCAAGCCAGTCATTCTTTTTGCACTCACTGAATTCATCGAGACTTAATACAGATATACGACGTGGGCTTCAGTTTAAAAAAAAAAACCGCTCAATTCCAATGCTCGCGATTCAATCAGTGGGGAGTCGTGAATGAACGATAATCGATACTTCCCCAATTTGAAGCTATGGTAAAGAATCGATTATTAATGTGTTCGTTGCAAATACTCTCTTTGTCGATTCTTTTCGATAGGTTTAAATGGCAGATCGATCGATCTATCAGAAACTCGTCGGGCCGCTGGATTCAATTTCCCCATCTAATTTTCTTACTACACTTTTAGTGATGTGCGAATATCCCAGAGTAAAAATTCATTAAGTTGCCCATCCACATTTTTTTTTCTGCGCTCTATCCTCATGAATCAATCAACAGCTTGTCAAAAGATGCCATGCATGCCCTTTCCTCCGTGAAACAGTGAACAAAATCCACATGGAGAAGCTGAAAATGAATCAACAGCTGAGTATTTTGTCGCTTGTTTACACTTAGCTTTTCCTTAATCCAGTCCCCTAATTTTCAAACTTGTTTGTGAAACAGAACAACCAGGCGCAATTAACAAAAAAAAAGACGAGCAAAGAAAAAACAGATCAGATTTTCAGAGGATAGGAATTTTATGAAGATTCTGTAAAAGTATAGAATGAAAAGCGATTTTCCCAGTGCTCCTGATTTGCGATTCCTGGTCCCGTTTTTTCATTTGTACGATCAGTGGCGTGGCGTGCTTCGTGATAGATCGATTGATTTCCCATTTAAACCTACGGAAAAGGATCGATAAACAGGGTGTTTGCAACGAACAGTTTAATGATCGATTCTTTGCCACAGCTTCAAATGGGGAAGTATCGATGTTCGATCATTCACGCGCCTCGCCATACGCCTCAGAACATACGCATCGAAAATGAAAGTGGTACTTCCAGTTTTTATTATGATTGTTATTCTTTTGCGCGATGAAAATAAATTGCTTTCCATGATTGGAAAAGTTGATTTGAGTGACCGCGCCCCCAAGCTCATAACTAGCATCAGCGGTAAGGTGAAATCTAATAAAATATTTGAAATACTAATTCGAATTTGGTACGTCAGGAGGAAACTCTGCATATTTTTAAACTTTGTTTGTTTGTTCTGAGGAATTTGAAAAAAAGAAAGGCAAAAAATATACCTTTATTTTTTTTTTTTTTTTATTTTTAGTTGACTGATTTGCCGCGCTGCAACTTGCAGTGCCGGGTGTAGAAAGGGCATTTCTTGGTTAAGATGTCCAGGGATCTCCGTTAACGTTTCATCCACTATAATTAAAGCAAGTACACGGAATTCGTTTAAACTTTTGCTGAATTTTCTTTAATTTCTTTACTTCATTTGAGAATTTTCAAGAAAGGATACGGTACCGCCGAATAACGTTTCATTTGACGGTACCCGCCGCGCCGTAACGCCAAATAACGTTTTATTTGACGGTTCACCGAACCGTCGCGCCGGAAAATCACATCGTAAAATAAGTGTGTATAAATAAGGAGTGGAGCTTTTGAAACACCGCAACCAAGAAGCGCCCTTTCTACATCCAACGCCTCAATTTTGTCATTTTTAAGCGTTATTTTTACATTTACCTCCAAAGCAGGTCGGCAAAATGTCTCCGGTCAACGAAAGATAAGCCGGATCTTTGTTAATCTACTCGACTATGCATAGCAATGACAACAGATTTTCCCTGCATGCAATAGTAAAAAATGGTTTTCCTGCACCGCTACACAAAAAAATGTAGCAGAAAAACTGCATCCTACTCCAAATCTTAGTGACACAAAATGCATGTTTTCCTTATTCCATCGCCGATATGCGGACCGCTGCGCCGCACAGTGAATCGAGTCAATCAGAAAGGTCGGACATTCAATTTTTTACCATAACTGCAAATTTTTATATTTATTTCGTCACATTTTCATTAACAAGGGGTGTTTCTAGAAGAAAATTTTACGAGGAAAGTAGTGAAACCACTTTTGAAACCTCAAAGTTTTGTATGAACGGTGTTATAAGCGTTTAAAGTTTCCAAATTGTGTTCGATCTCTCCAATTGACTCGACCCACTGTACGCTGCTGCGCGCCTTAATCCGGTATGCAGACAGGCTAATAGCCTCTCACCTTTTTTTCAAGAAGTTAAAAATTAGATATTGCCGTAAAAAAAATATGCAAATGCAAGCAGGGATTATTCTTGGAAACATGCGCTATTCCTATTCGTTACGTCGTCGTTTTCACACGTCGTAGCTAAGATTTTTATTGTCGCCCTTGCAGACTGCCTTTTACACTGCCGTGCGAAGGAAAAACGCTGTAAGAACATTCAAATGTTGTCAATTGAATCTCTAAGTTCTTACCAATTTTTGAGGATTGTTATGATATGAGTAATTTTCATTGACATTTTTAGACTTTTCAGATCAAATTACGAACTACTTGTAAATTCCCAGAGAATCTGGTAGAAATATACTCAAAAATGTCTCCTAAAATTCGTGATTTGACAAAGGAAATTTAGCAACGTCTGGGTGCTCTCACGGCGTTCTTCCTGTGCATGACAGTACAATTATTCAGAGGGCCCGATGCCGTTGTTGGCAACAATTTACTGTCGGTACTTATCAGAACTCGACCAATGAAGGTTTGTCAACTTGAGTAATCAAATTGCCTGCAGATGCAAATATAGATACCCTCCTCATTGACAGGTGGAAACTTTTACTTTCGGAAACTTCTACTACCATGCAAAATTTGACTTAAAGTGGAGGAGGGGGTGTGAGATAACTGTACGTCAGCTATACAATAGACTGCTAGCATTCTTAATAGTTTTATGGAAACTTAAAAACCGATATTTTTTATCCCAAATTGGTTTTTTGCTGAACTTCCTGTCGATGATTTCCTCATTTTCAGGACTACTGGAATTCCTGTCGTCTCGATAGAATTCCTGTTGTCGTTACGAGAATCCTATCGAGACATTTGAAACTCTTGTGTTATTGAAAGAAACTCTGAGGAAGACATTATTCACGGGAAAATATTTCTCCTTGTAAGAGCAGCGAGTTTTGCAACTGAGTATGCAGAAAATACACGATACTTAAAAAAAAAGTAACCGGAAAATAGGAAACGTGACGAAAAAGGGATACATGATATGGACCTAGTTTTGACAGAAACATCCTAAGTCACATTTTGGAAAAAATGAGGTAGGAGTAGTTTTGAATTAACCTTAACGAAAATTTTCTCCTGTCAAAAATTCAAAGTAGAGAAAAAATACTTTCAACATAAAAACTGTCGTTAAACTTTGTCCTTGACATTTAGTCTATCGAGGAGTGAAACTTCAAACCTCTTCTTCTCTATTTGAACTTGATGCGACTTGGTACGTTTCAGTATTAAACTCGTTCTCTAATAAAGTAGAGAAAAGAAGTATAAAAACAAATCGCGAAAAACACAAATTCACATTCAGCGTCTGCGCCATCTAATATTCATCCTTGGGCGAAAGGAATACGATTAAAATACTTTCTCAACGTGCAAAAGAGACAAAAAAAAAACTTCCGAATCGTTCAATTATCGACGTAACTTGCTGACCACTCTCCAGCTGACATTGAAATCGAAAAGTTGACTCCAAGAAGGCGACCAGTCGCCCCCTGGCTCCTGGCTGGGAAGTTGTTTTCCCCCGCGTATGTTCAAGGAAAAAAGAGGGAACAATGGGGAAAACCTGGAAAAACGCTGCCTGTAAAATCTATCCACCTTACTCGATTTTTTGACCGGGCCATGATCGAATGTGCCTCGTTCGTATGGGCGTTAGCTTATTCATCGCTAATCGTCTAGTAATAGGCGTTTTTGCCTCTGATAACGCGCTCCCTGGGCTATTTTCGCATCTTTGATAATTTCGTGAACCTCTGTGAAATGTGAATAATTTGGGATTTTTCAGTGAAAAGTGACACTCTTGTGATAATTTTATTTCCGGTAAGTAAAGTTTTGTAATTTCGTATGACCGTCCATAGGGAAAGGGATTTCAGTCCACAAAAGCTCATGGTGGAGAATTTGGAGGTGTCTGAAATTTTGGAAATTTCGTGTTTAAAATGAAACCACTAAGAGAACTGAGCGCAAAAATATGTTTGTTTTCTATATTGAACAATTATTATTGGAGGAAATGTGACAAAATTACCTAATCTGCTAAAAAACATGAGTGTAAATAGGAAATGACGTCACAAAGTGGCAAATTTTCTCAATTTCAAATGTTTTTTTCTACAATCTCCCATTCCGAAAAAACTCATGAACAATACTGCAAACTCAGCTCATTCAGTACCCTCTGATGAAGCAATAAACTTTTTTTGTGGTAATTCTTCATCAAGTGATTAATGACGGAGTATTGATTGAGGAACACGATGACGCAAAAATGACTAAAAAAACTAAACAAAATCAGAGTTATGGCGGCTTGAAGAGGTATTATCGGACGCATTTCTGCCAAACAGAACTATGTGCATCATGACGTGAGCCCTGTTATGCACGTATTTAAAAACAAAATAAAATTCATAGAAGTTAATTTTAAAAATTTGAATAGGTAAAATTTTGAATAGAAACATTTGAAATAGGTCTCAGGGCTAATGTCGTAATGCACATAGTTCCGTTTGGCGGAAATACGTCCAATTGAGGGTTAAATTGGCTTAAATCACCGTTCTGTACGAAGTCTCCAAATGAAAAGGCAACCTTACTTATGTGTTCGCTCCTCATCTGTACGCGATGAGTTCGACTGGACATTCATGGTGAAACTCCCAAACCACGTATCTCGGTTTGCGACGTTGCAGACTTCCTGAAATACTTTATTTTTTAAATGGAAAACTACTCAACGTCAATTCTGGAGAGCTTCATTGATTTTTCTTCACTGTGCGAAGGAAAATCTGTGAAAACCTCAATGAATAATGTTGATTTGGTATTCTTAAAAAAAATAAAATGGCAGTGGAAATTTTTAGTCACCGCAAAGGAGATACGTGGTCTGGTAGTTACACCGTCGATATAGAGGTAGGTAAAGGCCCAGGCCCTCTTAACGCCACGGATACTACTGAAATACCCCGGTATCCGCGACCCCGCCATCCGCGGATTCGCTTATCCGCGATCGAATTTTTGCGGCATTAGCCCGCTATCCGCGACTCCTTGACTCGCTTATCCGCGATCGAATTTTTGCGGCATTAGCCCGCTATCCGCGACTCCGTGACTCGCTTATCCGCGATCGAATTTTTGCGGCATTAGCCCGCTATCCGCGACTCCGTGACTCGCTTATCCGCGATCTGGGAAGAGAACCATGGCAACCATGAATGAAATGACTGCGGGAAGGTTGTCATGGAAGTGAAGCACCAATTGATAAAGTTTTCCTTTTCCTAACCTTGCTTGATTATTTTATTTCAAATCATTCAAATTCATTTGTTTTCTTGCAAAAAAAAGCACCTTGTATCGATCCGCACATGGAAAGGGCACTTTTCCAACGAGGCCTCAGCAGTCTACTTCTTCCATACATTGAAATACAAAAAGATCTACGGCGTAAAATGAAACAGCCAACTCTGATGACTTTCTTCCGCAAATTATAGGTGAATGTTAGCATTTTTCATTTGACATTTCCCCTGAGCCTGACCCTTCATTTTCAATAAGACCAATGCCCCCGGTATCCGCGAATTCGGTATCCGCGGGGTCTTCGCGGAACGTAACCCTCGCGGATACCGGGGTATTACAGTACTTCCCCCCCCCACCTTATTTCAGCCTTGACTTAGCGAGCTTTTTTGGAGCTTGGGCGTTAGTTTTAGCGGGAACTAGTGACACCATCATCATGTTTAACATGGAAGGAAATTTCGTTAGATTTTAATCGTACCCAGAATGCATTACGCAACAACTGAAGATCCACCTTAAATGCGAAGAGGAGACTCCGAAAATTTTAAGGGAAAACGTTCCAAAATTTTCCAAAAAAGTTCGTTAGATACATCAATCGTACCCAGAATACATTGCGCAATAACTGAATATCCACCTTAAATTGCGAGGAGGGTACTCCGAAAATTTAAAGGAAAAACGTTCCAAAATTTTCACGGAAAAATATTTCAAAATCGCCAGAAACCTCGTTTTTCCTCAGGAGAAATTTGGCAACGCCAGAACTTTGATACTTGGTTTTTCCTCAAGACAGCAGCGTGACGCGAGCGGACTCACGTTGACGCACCCTCCCTCACGTTCACGCTGCGTTGTTTTTTGCGGAACGGCTTGAAGCGCGCGCGGGCCGTCGTCGTAGACTGTTGACGCGGGTGTTTGCTTTGGCGCTTGGCGGGATTTCATGAATGGCCGGAATTCCGAAGTCCGCGATTGGCCCCATTCAAAGTGCACCGGGGCCTGTTTGCCGGTTCGCCGGCTGCTCCCTCTCATTATCGCCCGCGTCGAACGGAATCGTTTTGCCCGACGACTTTGCTCCCATGTCGTCGTAGCATTGACCGCCACTTCCAAACAATCCATGTTGCCGAATAGAGCGGAGAATCCCGTCGAAAACAACGATATAGAAACTAGAGTCCCTTTATACTGAGAGTCAAGACAATTTGAATCCATTTCTGATTGGTTCCCGTATTTTAGGCCTCCACAGTGTCACAAACGGGAATAAAGATCACATTTTCACCAATTGCAAAGATTATAGTCTGGAATGGACCAGGGAATTACGGGTTCGGCAAGGAACAAACGGAATGAGAGGAGGAACGGAGAAAGGCATTTGAGAATGGGTCGATCAAAGATTACGAAAAACGGTCAATTTCTGTAATCTTTATTCCCGTTTGTGACATCCATGAGCCGAATTGTCTTGACTCGCGGTATAAAGGGACTCTAATAGAAACTATAGATTGGCGATAGCCTACGAAAAAACGTAACACACATGGAGCGGTCGTTCGATGGGCGGGCGGGGAGTGGAAATGGCCGATTGCTGTCTTCGTCATAACCTCAAAAACATGAATCTTACGGGAGTTTTCGGAATAAATAAACGCACTTGATGAGTGGCTGAGTTCCATATCTGGACACAGATTTTCAAACAGTTGGTTCTAAATTTGATATAAATCGGTATTCAGCAACATTCCCATAAGAAGCCATAGAAACTGACTATCTTCGTCCTGGCCTTATTGTTGTTCCTGGTGTGTTACGAATTTCACTGTTTGCGTAGCATAGGATCCCCTTATATCTATGGTTTCTAGATCGTTGGTCGAAAACGGGCGTTTTTTCGACCTCCAAAAAACTTAAAATTTGACTCCACCGATGCTAATACGAGGCACACGCCGAGGCGTTGAGAGATGACCTGGTGCGTTACAAAGACGAAAAATTTCATAAAACTTTTTAAAATGAAATTTCATTGAATTTCTGAAAAAAGGTTACGGGATATAAAGATGCCGTCCGTACCGGGCACGG